TCCCTTTTATTTCAAAGTACTCGCAGCTCAGCTGTGGTGCTGGCTGTTTCGATGGAAGATTGTGCAACTCCGCCACACTTAGATTTTTTACAGGAGTCAGTATTTTTACTGGATTTTTGGATTACTGAAAAACTCGGTTTAAATTCAAATGACTGTAATTCGTAAAGATTGGATAAAGTCGACACATTTTATTTTTCATCATTACACGGGGTTAACAGAAGTAAGTCTGTAAATTTTTGTAACACATTTTCTCAACTTTGAATTTTTCACAGATTATTTCAATTTTATCGAAGAGTTCCACAATTCAAAAATTCGGTAAAAATTACTGACTAGATAAGTATGTACTGATGTATGATTGGTGAATAGGCTAGCATCTGGAGGGTATTCTCGGGCTAGTGAATGCCACCCACTCCCACTTATAATTCAATAATACAATATTTATTCATTTCTGTTTGATATTTTTACAAAGTTTGACAAACAGAAATGAGTCCCAGATTTTTGCAGTTGCAGTTGCAGTCCCAAATTTTTTTTAACGGAAAAAATATATCAAAAATTGCCGAAATAGCGAGAGAATATTATACAGCTGTATAATATTCACATATTTTATTTGGTATGTTGAAATCAGAAAACCACATTAAGATTAAAAAAATATAGCTAACCAAAGTTGGCAATAAAAGAAAACATAAAATGTTGAATAACTCACTTAGCAGTCATTTCCGACCCTATGTTTCATGGAGATTTTTTCATAACTTTAGGAGCTCTATCTACCCTGAAAATATGTAAAACCCGGAACCAAACACCCTGTATTATAAGATATATCTTTTAGCAATATTTACATTTTGATTGTATTCTTTTGTTTTTTTTTTCTTTCCTTTGGTTTGTTTTTTCCGTCGATCTTGTTTTCCGTGCTGAGCACCAATGCTACCGACGTGCCAGGAAGGCAGCTCCCACACCTGGACCTTACCTATCGACCCATCAACTCATGAACCGGAGACCAACGGCTCTACTTCCCATCCGAAGGAAGGCGTGATCAGAGATGTTATGCCTCAGAACATCCCGGCGGCGCTGACTGGTATTGAACCCAGGCCTGCTGGGTTGAGAGATAATCACGCTTACCACTACACCACCGGCGCCGTTTGTATTCTTTTGTTAAGTCGCCATATTTCCCGCCATATATATTTTTCATGGTATACAGTGTGATTGTTCAATAATCAATAAATTATCTTAACATTTAGTGGCAGACTATTCATAAATGTTGGTAGCATACATACATTCTATAATCCATATTAAATTTTCTATGCAAGCGCCGATCGAAACAAACGTTATGACGTCACTACAAGCGTGATTGAGTGAACGAAAGAAACGAATCGTGCGAAGCTGAATGAAAGCCAAGTGCGGCCTACCGATAACTACCGACGACAGTTTTGAGAAGTTACCGATAATGAATAATATAATCTGACCACCCTGCTCGGACCGACCACCTTGGGCTCAGCACCACGCTTCTGTTTTTTATTTGGCCTTGGGCCAAATTCAGCACACGGGGGCTGTACATAAACTACGTAGACAGGTAAGGGGGGGGGGGGAGGGGGGTCGTTGGCAATTATCCACGGCCAATACAATATTTTTTGTATGGACGATTGAAACTGTCTACTTAGCTAATGAACAGCCCCCCATGCTTCTAAATCTAAACAACACTTTTCCACTCGATCGCGAGGACCATCACCATTCGTCCGGTCATCCAGGAAAATTGACCAAAATGTTCCACGATAGCTCACTGCTTCAATATACGATTTCGAAATGTTGGTTTGCGCGATGAAACACTTGAATGCGTTCATCTTATACAATGTTTAGTTTATTTCTGTTGATTTATAGGACAAAAATATGATTATTTGAAGTGGCAAATATTAATTAAAGATTTTTCGGTATCTCACAACCGTTCACTGTATGTTGAACATAGTTTCGGAAGGAGTGCGCTGTATAGTGCATAATTATGTGATGACAGCGCACTGCTTCCGACATTATGTTTACCGTTAAGAAAATGAGTGAAATCTTTTGTTGCTATTGGGTTATTCCGGTTTCCAACTGTAGCGAAAATAATAATAGGTAACAAAGTGCCGAAGCTGTCATTTGCCCTATGGAAATTTGAACTTTTTTCAAAAATATTGATTAAAGCGAAACCAGACAAAATATTTCGGAGATCAACTTCAAAGTGTATTTTTCATTATTGCAAATTGTATAACAAAAAAAAACCTGATTTTTTGCAATGTGATCAACAAATGATATCTATGTGTCGGACACGATTCTATGACACTACCCCGAATGTCACTACCCCAAACGCCATAACCCCGAACGCCGTTACCCCGAATGTCCTACTACCCCGAATACCCTACTACCCCGAATGGCCATAACTCCGAAATTAAGACAAATGGAAGAACAGCATGTGATCAAAAGAAGGGTAAATTTTTAAAAAGAAAATTTTCTTTTGTAGTTTAAACAGAATACAAATGATAAAAATAACAATTTAAAATTGATTTATGTAAAGCAGTGATGCAAAAGTTCACTATGATTCGTGAGCTTTTTCCTAGGTGAACTTCGTGAAAATTCGCGAACCCTTCCAATGCTGTATTTTGTATTTTTCACAATGACACTCTCTAAATTCTTATAAAATAAATTATTAGATTCTATAACATTCCCCAGAATTCCATACCCCAGAATGCACAATTCCCCAGAAAAGATGATGAAATTAGTAATTTATCACTTTTTTTGTTGGTCATTTGATAAGATATTTCAGTTTTATATAACAGAACAGGCGTCCATAAATAAACAGGTATAAGTATAAGTATCTTGCACACTGAATAATACATCTTCTGAATACCAATTTTCTCGATAAATTTTACACATATGATTTAATATATTTTTCATGACAAAACTCTCTGATTAGTTTCACTTTACTATTGATGATACACTACGTTTACTTTTATGGAACTATGTATTTCTCAATTCCAAACCATTTTATAACTCTTTAGAAAATGACAACCTTCAAGTTTTCGAGCACTTCGTTCATCATTTAAAAAGTCAAAGGGTCTATTATGCAATCCAATTCAACCAGTCGGAAACTGTTAAACATTATCGAAGAATTGTTCGACCTGAGTTGAAGAATTTCTCGTGATGGATTAAAAAATCGGTGCATGGAACGTTGAACTACCGATTACAAATTTATAACATTATTCCACACGTTATTATCCCAAATGGGCATTACTCCGAATCCCTTGCGAAAAACTATTGATTATATATTTTTCTTATATATTAAAAGAAGGGAATATTCCCTTCTTTTTCGTGTATCCAAAGAATTAATTATTTCCTTTTGTTATATTTTCATAACGAATTAATGATGTTCTCTTTTATATATTCAAAGAAGGGAATATTCCCTTCTTTATCGTATATCCAAAGAATTTATTATTTACAGCTTTTGGAAATGAATTCGGGGTAGTGGCCATTCGCGGTAATGGTCATTCGGGGTAGTGTACTATTCGGGGTAACGGCGTTCGGGGTAGTGTCATAGAACCGTCGGACACATACTTAATATATGTACACATAAAAGCCATGTGTGACCACTAATACTATTCATTTGACACATAAATTTCAAGTGTACTTCTGAGTGGTTCTGTTTGTGTGGTCACATGACATTCATGTGGAATTTCACAAATTCGTAAATAAAAAAGTGTGGACTTATTTGAGTGTATGGAAATTTGAACTTTTTTAAAATATATTGATTTTTAAAGCGAAAACAGACAAAATATTTCGGAGATCAACTAACCAGATGGCTAAAAATCCCCATGATAAAGCGTACAAAAAAGACAAAAAATTTGGACTGTTCCGCAAAAATTTTAGGCAGTATCACATTTTTTCTTCAGAAAAGGTCCTTATTTCGTATTTTTTTTTCTCGATTTTCCAAAATAATTTCCCATAATTTCACTGGCGTTATCTGCTCCAAAGTTGAAGACAATTTGATAGGAGAGTGAACCTTGTTTATTAAAAATAAACAAAACAGCAAAAGGGTTTATCTTCCATTTAATTCCACTTAATTAATTTTGGTATCCATGACAGATACGTATTTCGACTACAATGTGCAGTCTTCATCAGTGTCATTCCCACTAAAGAACTTATCAAAATCTAACCCCCTTAAGTACTCATCCCCTAGGTAAAAAAGTCAAGATCATAGGTATAAAAATGAAACTACAATGTGTTGAATCTGAACCTACCTAACTAATAAAAACCAAAGATTTAAGTGAGCTAAAGGAGAAAAAATCTATACAACTCTCTAATAAGGAAAATCCCCAAAGGCTTGGTAGCCATCATAATGAATTAATGAAATTGGGTTGTTAGCGGAATGCTAAATAAAACAGCAAAAGGGTTTATCTTCCATTTAATTCCACTTAATTAATTTTGGTATCCATGACAGATACGAATTTCGACTACAATGTGCAGCCTTCATCAGTGTCATTCCTACTAAAGAACTTATCAAAATCTAACCCCCTTAAGTACTCATCCCCTAGGTAAAAAAGTCAAGATCATAGGTATAAAAATGAAACTACAATGTGTTGAATCGGAACCTACCTAACTAATAAAAACCAAAGATTTAAGTGAGCTAAAGGAGAAAAAATCTATACAACTCTCTAATAAGGAAAATCCCCAAAGGCTTGGTAGCCATCATAATGAAGTGGGAATGACACTCATGAAGACTGCACATTGTAGTCGAAATACGTATCTGTCATGGATACCAAAATTAATTAAGTGGAATTAAATGGAAGATAAACCCTTTTGCTGTTTTATTTAGCATTCCGCTAACAACCCAATTTCATTACTTCATAAAAATAAACGTTTAATGTTCATGAATAAATTACAATAAATGTTTATGTAATTTATTTATGAACATTGAATAATAAATAACATTACAGCATCAAATAACATAACAAATATGGAAATAACGGATTATTTACCTCTTTACTGCTGTGTGAAAATGTGCTCATATGAGTATCCGAATGGTCGCCATTTTGTACATGTTCACCTAAAATATAGAAAGCGATATAATTATTAAATGCGATGCATTGTATATTTAGAAAACCAATGTACTTGAACCTAAAATATTTATACATAGAAGGACAACGTTTTTTAAGTCGATTTGTTAATTACAATCCATGGGATAAAATAATCCTTAAATATATAGAGAACAAAGCATTTGAGAGAAAAAGTACTATTACTGAAAGACAAAATAATTTAAGGTGTGAATCAAGCAAGTAAAAAGAGTTGAATAATGTATAATGTATGATGTATGAATAATGTATTGAAAACAGCGGTATTAATCCAAGCGTTAATCGTTTCAATTAGCCGCAGACGATACGCTTCCGTTCACTCGGCGATGGTCTTCAATTGTTCTTAATGACTCGTTTCCGAATGAGTCTGCTTGACCAAATCGATTTCACCTTGCAGCTGAACGATTTCATCTACATCGTTGCGCATTTGATCCAGCGTATCACCTATTGTGATGATGCATTCTAATTGATCATCGCACGTCTTCCTGAGACACGCGAAATGGTCCATAGTCTGAAGTTTATTGTTTATTTCTCCTCCTGATCCGGTTGAGTTTTCATCGTATTCAGCATCAGATGAGAGCTGCAAGCTTTGGCGTTTCAAATGAGTGCGATGTTTACGCACAGTTTTTACAGCTGTAATTGTGGAAGGTGTTCTTTTGTTGGCAATTTCTTGTTGTTTTTTCGCGTTTCTATTGTTTGCTGCTTTATTGCTCTTATTGCTGGACAATAGATGGTTATATTTTACTTTCTGGATATTTTCCAATACGAAATTCCGATTACGGCAATTCTTAACCGTTTTACGGAGAGATGAGGATGGCATATATTCTGATTCCAGATTTTTGTGTTCCATTATTGGCCATGTTTGCAAAGCTACAGATGTCAGTGAGAATTGTTGGGCAACATTTTCCGTTTGTGTAGCGCATGTAACTTTTGGTGCTTTCATGTCAATATTTTCGTAGTCTTTGCGGTTCAGGATTTGCTCTCCAATTTTCAGATACAGTACAGGCACAGTTCCATACGATTTTGAATGGTTTTCAATTTTTTGCAAAATTTCAATGTCTGTTGAATCAAGTCTGCATGACCCAGCTTCGGCACTAAACAGCTGTCGAATATGGTTGAGCAATGAACTTTCATTGCGAATCTCAGGAAACTCGACTGTAAAAATAAACAACTACGTAGTATATGTTTGCTTTAGGTAATGTGCTTATTTGAGAAAAATAGTGAATAATGTATAAAAGCAGGGGTTTCCACAGTATTACCACAGGCCATTAACATACATTCCAAGATATTATAGAGAATGTACTATTATTTACTGAACTGCAGAACAATATGTATTTACACATTCAGTGGAAAGTGGGTCATCCTGGCCACCCTAACGAAAATTCAATAAAATTCCACAAAGTTTTCAGAAAAAAGATTATATGTATGGTGCAAGATGGGGCAAAAAGAAGTGCCACTATAGGGTCGGGTGGGTGGTGCAAGAGTGCCACCCCCTATAATTTTAAAAATAAACATGTTTTCAATACTAATTCACCCATGAAACTATGAATGGTGTTCCTATGCAGCATTATAGAAAGTTCTGTCCAAAATGAAGTAAAATCATTTTGTGCGGATGTGTCAAAAATCCAAATAACTAGACATAATTAGACATCATAAAATAAGGATTTTAGATTTTCCAAATATTGTTTTCTACAATTCCTGCATTGAGGCATCTCTAATAATGAATAATTGAAACACCAATAACATAGAACATATAAATATTCCCTATAAATTGGTCAAAAATAATTTTCTTAAAAATGAACCTCAGAGCAAGAGTGCCACCCCTATATTTATGAATAAAATTATACCAAAATGTAAAAGAAGTTACTTCATTGCCCATTTGAGTCTTTGGTAAGCTTGTTTTCACCAAATTTTACAAAACCAGATGCATAAAATATCAACAACAATAGTTTTCGTTTGATTTCATTGGTAAACATAGTTCATTTGTTATGTATTGAATAATATTGTAAAATTCGAAAAAAAAACCAGTTTTGACGAGATACAATTTGCATTACATTGCTGATGTATGAAGGCAATAATAGGAAGTTGCAATAAGGTGTAGAATCTCCTATAAATATCCACTATTTGGCATGTTTAACAGTTGTTAAGGTGGAGAGGATCATCCTGAACAGGCTGATGAAATGCACGGAGAGTGAACACGCATTGTCGGAGAGGCAGTTCGGATTCCGTAAAGGGAGATCGACGGTGGATGCAATTCGGACAGTGATTGACAGAGCCGAGAAAGCTTACAAACAGAAACGGAGAGGAAATCGATACTGCGCCGTGATTACGATTGATGTGAAGAATGCATTCAATAGCGCCAGCAGGGAGGCCATCGCCAAGGCGCTCGATATAATGAGGGTTCCAGACTACCTCTGCAGGATTCTAAGTAGTTACTTTCAGAACCGGGTCCTGGTCTACGCGACAGACACGGGGCAGAGTTTGCTTAGAATCACGGCGGGAGTTCCACAAGGCTCCATTCTAGGAAAGGAATGTACAATGGCGTGCTGTCGCTCAAGCTGCCCGAAGGAGTTGAGATCGTTGGCTTTGCGGACGATGTCGTCTTAACGGTAACCGGTGCGACGCTGGAAGAAGTGGAAATGCTGGCGGTCGAGGCGATAGATACGATTGGTAACTGGATGCAAGGAGCGAAGCTGCAGATAGCCCACCACAAAACAGAAGTGATGTTGGTCAGTAACTGCAAAGCAGTGCAACGGGCAGAAATCACCGTTGGAGAGCACACCATTGTTTCGAAGCGCGTGCTGAAGTACCTGGAAGTGATGATCGACGACCGGCTAAACTTTAACAGCCACATCGAATATGCTTGCGAGAAGGCGGCGAAGGTCATCAACGCAATAGCCAGAATCATGCCGAACAATTCTGGTCCAAGCAGCAGTAAGAGGCGTCTTCTGGCCAATGTTGCAAATTTTCGCATCAATGAAAACTCAGTACCAGTATTTGAGAGATACAACTCACAATGTTCATTTTCCAACCAGGCTCTCACTACGAATAGGACAGAGGCAATAACAAAAATATTCCGACTCAACTCAGCGGGAGAACAGACAAATGCTGAGAATGTGTTCATCTAACCAGACTTTCTCTCTCTCAGTCATTGAGCTTAGTCGTTCTGATTCACCATGGATAGAGACAAATTGAGTCAGAGTGAGTCTACCTGTTCGTTAAAGCAGTTATACCTGGGTACGTTGATAAATGGGCAATGGAAATAAAACAACTTATTAGTAAGCGTGCAAAGGGGCGACTGTTGAACCTGAAAATAGATTCAGTATCACGTCGGGGTCGCACATTTTTGCAATAAACGCACAATGCATGGATGAGAATGAGAATGTTGAAATTATTCATTTGGTTAAGTACAGAAACAATTATTTTTAAAACTTAAAAAGAAATATAAAATAATCTATTGTGATAAACCTATGGGGAAAGGGTGATTTTTCGTTACTTATTATTACATAGGGGGTGGGGAATATAGGGCCAGATGGAACGGGTGGCGTTTAGAACAGGCCTTGGCCTTCATGACGCGCCATATTGAATAATCCAGCGGATTGAGATCGGGGCTGGATGGCGGCCACATATCCTTCGCCTAGAACGGAAGATGTTCCTGCAACCACTTCTGAGTGCGGTTCGAGGTGTGGCACGGAGCCCCATCAAATACAACATTTGGCTTCGGACCGTACTGTTGTTTGATCCACGGAAGAACATACTTACTTAAAATCCCGATGTAGACCTCCGTGTTGACCTTGTCGCCTTCTGGAATGAACACCGGGTCCATTTTTTGCCATCGGAAGCCACCAATCCAAACATCATAACGCTAGCAGGATGCTTGGTCAGTGTTGGGAACATGGACATCCCTAACGATCGCTACCAACACCAACAACGCTGAGCTCACTGGTAGCAGCTAAGCTGTCACCCGTAGATGCGCGAACCAGCATAAGAAAGAAGAAGAACACAACATAGATGTTTGAGTCCGTCATCTTGTATCGTGTGCGCTTCCCGCAAGTCAATGTATACTTTTAGTTCGTCATTTTAATAAAGTTTTATTTGCTAGTTTACGTTCGCGTTAATTTTATTGTACATGATGTACACAGTCAGATACACGTTCTTGTGCTCGTCGGCCACGTCTTTTACCGAAAGAGAACTAATAAACCGGTCGGTTCTGGAATTTGATACGGGATCGACGGTAAACATGCTCTCGTCGGTGAACAGGATTACCGGTTTTTTTACGCTTAAGGAAGTTCAAGATTTTCTTGCATCGTTCGACTCGTAGCTCCAGGATGCGGTTGGTAATCATGTGAGTTTTTTTCCGTGCCCTCGACTTCGTCTCGCAATCTTCCTTTACGATCTTCCGTGCCGTAAAGTCACTGATCCCGTGTTCCTTTGCCATTTTCCTTATTGAACGCACTGGATTCACCCGAATCTTCCTTTTGATAGCAGCGATAACCCTCGGAACCCGTGCTGACCTCGGACGACCTGTGGCCACCTTCGCGGATAGTTGTCCTTTCTTTTCTCGGTCTAAAACCCTTTTGAAGGTCCACCGGGACACTCCCACGGTGATTGAAATCAGGGCATCTGATCGTTCCTTTTTTCTAGCGAACGGCAGCAGCAGTATGAATTCAATTTCACCACTCCCTTATGTGCGGTACTTTGTATACCATTCAATACCCCCACACTACGCTTTGCATTCATACATACCGATGCACAGTAAAGCGAATAGATACCAAAAAGCATTCCCACTTTCTCTTCTTCAAAATCCTCTCCCGTACAGTCGCTCCCTTTCGCTCTGGTTTCATTCCCATTTTGATTTCATTCGGGTTCCTTTTTTCGTTTTGGGTTGGGAATGTCCGAAAAAAACAGTCAATGAACGGCATTCATCGAGCAAAGTGGTTGGTGTGTTAGATGCTAAAAAATAATATGTTGGTTT